GCAAACTGTTTAGCATGAAAATGAGTTTGATTTGAATGAAAATGAACGTACAGCTAAAACAATTCTTCAAGTGAAATGAACTGAAGTTTCGCACGAAAGACTTCTTGTAACACAAGCAGAAGACAAGCAGAAGGCAACTCAGACTTACTTTATTCTTCTTATCAGAGATGCTGAAATGACGAAGCTTCACAGAAATTCTTTCCCATTATTTCTTCCCTGTACTGAAGTATGTGATTTGTAACAAGCAGCATCAAAATGTAACGAGTCGGAAAGGCAAAGAACACACGTCACTGATGCCCCACTGTCCTCCCCCTCTTCAAAAAAGAAAAACTAATAATAATAACGAAGAAAAACAGTCTCCCAAACAACGAAGAAATGCCGGGATTGATTGACAACGCAGCTCTCAAGCACGGCGTTACTAAACAAGGCAACAAACTCTCATTGCATTACAATAAGAGTGTATTAGTCTAGTTTTACAGTGTACTCTTAAAACCCACCTTCTTAGGAACCCACTGATCCTGTTTTGAGCCAAGACCGAGTCTTCCAAATGATCCTCTCCCCCAGGTATACAGTGCGCCTGTATCTGTGAAAAGTCATTTAAGAGTTAAAGACTGTTTTTTAGATGATCACTTACAATTGAATCATGAGCCACTAGTAATTAAAATAAAAGTAGAGAGATGAGTGACTTTGAGTTCCTGAATTGAATTTTCGAACTAACGTAACAGAAGTTGATTCTATAAACACAAAAACCTGCACGTTAGCGAATACCACGTAACATGCCGTTACTTTAATAGGACAATCCACTTCGCTTCTACATGGAAACGTCGCTCCTCTTTAATATTTTCGAATAAAAAATGTCCATGACGTTCCAATGGATATCATAGAGAGATATTCTGTGCAAGGTATTCCGGCTGCATGAAAGGAGCCACGTCACGGTTTCTGCATCTTGAAAATTTAAGCCTAGGTTTTTCAAGTTCTTCGTTTGTAATCCGTGTCAATCTTCTCCATCCTTAACCATCCTTATTCCTTTATGGTTTACTATTATCTCTTTAGTGTTTTTCCACCTAAGTAAACTACTATTTTCAGATTTCCTTCGATTTAAAGGCAACTCCATATGCGGCCAAAAAAACTCAAAATTTTTGAGGCAAACACTTTGACCGCATTTTGTCAACCACTTGTGATGAACCAAAAGAACCTCTGCAAAGGAGGCTAAATCGTATTGTTATACAATGTAGTCACCATCTGTTTTTTCATCGGATAAAAGCCTACAGATAATTCTGGGAAGCAGCGCAACCGACAGATACAACCCGTAGGTTGTGCGCGCAATGCATGATTTCCAAGAGCAATGTCAAGTTCACGTAAGAACATGGCTTGTCGAAAATAAACTGTGTTCGGTGCGCTAATGCGTTTGTCGTTATTTTCTTTAAAACAATGTACAATAAGACAATTATGAGATTCGGTTTTTGTGACATCCGGAATAATCAAGGTCGAGGTAAGTGTTATCAGCCGCAGCCTTCGGCTCCGGCTGATAACGCTAACCGAGACCTTGATTATTTCGGACACCACAAAAACCTCATCCAATAAAACTGTTTATAATTGTAAGACTTGAAACTTCCAGCTATTTGATGTTCTATACAGACCTGTCACTACAGCAGTGTTATCGGGGCCGCAAAACACTCGTGTAACAGTTTCATCGATGGAGGAAAACTCTTGAATTTTTCTCGGCGTCTTCGCAAAAGAAACCTCCCGGCCATGTCCCAGAACACCATAGCCCCAACTGTAGAGTTCCCCAGTGACTACAGTTGTTCAAAAACAAGAATAAAAATATTTACAGTATCAGCCATGATGTCAAAGCAACCAATCCTCTTACTGATTAGTTTTGATAATTTCGTGTTTCATCTGGATAACGCGTCAATGTAGGCAACCGTCCTAATTTAAGTGAAGTCTCTGCTTGACAGGTTTTTCAAAATTAGTTATCATGGCATGTGTCCATGAGCCTTAACGAAGGCATTCACAAAATGAATTGATAACCGTGCACCCCTGTTTCCTAAAATGTAGCCATTACAAAGAGAGAACTCCCTGTAAGAGGAGATTTCTCTGGGAGAAGAGATCTCCCTGGGGGAAGAGAACTTCCTTGGGAGAGGAAAACTCCCTAGGAGAGGAAAACTCCCTGGGAGAAGAAACTCCGCGGGAGGAAAGAAATCCCTGGGACAGTATCCCTCGTGTATTCCGATCTTCTCTCCCTCCCCCTATAGCCTACGTTTGCCCCTGGGGTGTGACATATAACTAAGAAGTTGTCACGTAACATTCCAGGATAGCTTGCGGATCGGCATTAAGTCGTGTAGGAGTTGTCGAGTAACAACCAACGACATATGTTGCGCAACAGACAAAAATGGCAACATGTCACGTCTTTGATACGTAGTTCACTCACCAGTGAGGGCAACACAGAACGAGCCACCAGCAGCCACGTGTGTGATCTCTGGTAGACCTTTTAGTAACGAGGCTCTTTTAGGGACTGCAAACTAACGTATCAGTGAAGATCATCAGAAGAGAAGATAGAAGCCTTACGCAATATTTTACTCCACTTTTTTTTTCCATGATGGGCAATTTGATCTCTTTCGAACTTCCATGAATCTCTGCTTTTCGGTTTGAGAACCTAAAATTTTCAAGCGGCTTCCTAATATTCTAACCCTCTTTCTATCTCAAATTGCTTTCTGCCAGCAGCTCCCTTTTGTAGAGTGATTAATAACGAAAAGGTTTCTGGAGGTCAAAGCTTCCTCGGTTCCATACAAAACTTTCTGTTTTTTTTT